CTATGTGTGGCAGTGTTGAGTCTATGGGTGGCAGTGTTGAGTCTATGGGTGGCAGTGCTGAGCCTATGGGTGGCAGTGTTGAGTCTATGGGTGGCAGTGTTGAGTCTATGGGTGGCAGTGTTGAGTCTATGGGTGGCAGTGTTGAGTCTATGGGTGGCAGTGCTGAGCCTATGGGTGGCAGTGTTGAGTCTATGGGTGGCAGTGTTGAGTCTATGGGTGGCAGTGCTGAGTCTATGGGTGGCAGTGTTGAGTCTATGTGTGGCAATGTTGAGTCTATGGGTGGCAGTGTTGAGTCTATGGGTGGCAGTGTTGAGTCTATGGGTGGCAGTGTTGAGTCTATGAGTGGCAGTGTTGAGTCTATGGGTGGCAGTGTTGAGTCTATGGGTGGCAGTGTTGAGTCTATGGGTGGCAGTGTTGAGTCTATGGGTGGCAGTGTTGAGTCTATGGGTGGCAGTGTTGAGTCTATGGGTGGCGTTGTTGAGTCTATGGGTGGCAGTGTTGAGTCTATGGGTGGCAGTGTTGAGTCTATGGGTGGCAGTGTTGAGTCTAAGGGTGGCAGTGTTGAGTCTATGGGTGGCAGTGTTGAGTCTGTGTGGCAGTGTTGAGTCTATGGGTGGCAGTGTTGAGTCTATGGGTGGCAGTGTTGAGTCGATGGGTGGCAGTGTTGAGTCTATGGGTGGCAGTGTTGAGTCTATGAGTGGCAGTGTTGAGTCTATGGGTTGCAGTGTTGAGTCTATGGGTGGCAGTGTTGAGTCTATGGGTGGCAGTATTGAGTCTATGGGTGGCAGTGTTGAGTCTATGGTTGGCAGTGCTGAGTCTATGGGTGGCAGTGTTGAGTCTATGGGTGGCAGTGTTGAGTCTATGGGTGGCAGTGTTGAGTCTATGGGTGGCAGTGTTGAGTCTATGAGTGGCAATGTTGAGTCTATGGGTGGCAGAGTTGAGTCTATGGGTGGCAGTGTTGAGACTATGGGTGGCAGTGCTGAGTCTATGAGTGGCAATGTTGAGCCTATGGGTGGCAGTGTTGAGTCTATGGGTGGTAGTGTTGAGTCTATGGGTGGCAGTGCTGAGTCTATGGGTGGCAGTGTTGAGTCTATGGGTGGCAGTGTTGAGTCTATGGGTGGCAGTGTTGAGTCTATGGGTGGCAGTGCTGAGCCTATGGGTGGCAGTGTTGAGTCTATGGGTGGTAGTGTTGAGTCTATGGGTGGCAGTGCTGAGTCTATGGGTGGCAGTGTTGAGTCTATGGGTGGCAGTGTTGAGTCTATGGGTGGCAGTGCTGAGTCTATGGGTGGCAGTGTTGAGTCTATGGGTGGCAGTGTTGAGTCTATGGGTGGCAGTGTTGAGTCTATGGGTGGCAGTGTTGAGTCTATGGGTGGCAGTGTTGAGTCTATGCGTGGCAGTGTTGAGTCTATGGGTGGCAGTGTTGAGTCTATGGGTGGCAGTGTTGAGTCTATGGGTGGCAGTGTTGAGTCTATGGGTGGCAGTGTTGAGTCTATGGGTGGCAGTGTTGAGTCTATGGGTGGCGTTGTTGAGTCTATGGGTGGCAGTGTTGAGTCTATGGGTGGCAGTGTTGAGTCTATGGTGCAGTGTTGAGTCTATGAGTGGCAGTGTTGAGTCTATGGGTGGCAGTGTTGAGTCTATGGGTGGCAGTGTTGAGTCTATGGGTGGCAGTATTGAGTCTATGGGTGGCAGTGTTGAGTCTATGGGTGGCAGTGCTGAGTCTATGGGTGGCAGTGTTGAGTCTATGGGTGGCAGTGTTGAGTCTATGGGTGGCAGTGTTGAATCTATGGGTGGCAGTGTTGAGTCTATGAGTGGCAATGTTGAGTCTATGGGTGGCAGAGTTGAGTCTATGGGTGGCAGTGTTGAGACTATGGGTGGCAGTGTTGAGTCTATGGGTGGCAGTGCTGAGTCTATGGGTGGCAATGTTGAGTCTATGGGTGGTAGTGTTGAGTCTATGGGTGGCAGTGTTGAGTCTATGGGTGGCAGTGTTGAGTCTATGGGTGGCAGTGCTGAGCCTATGGGTGGCAGTGCTGAGTCTATGGGTGGCAGTGTTGAGTCTATGGGTGGTAGTGTTGAGTCTATGGGTGGCAGTGCTGAGTCTATGGGTGGCAGTGTTGAGTCTATGGGTGGCAGTGTTGAGTCTATGGGTGGCAGTGCTGAGTCTATGGGTGGAAGTGTTGAGTCTATGGGTGGCAGTGTTGAGTCTATGGGTGGCAGTGTTGAGTCTATGGGTGGCAGTGTTGAGTCTATGGGTGGCAGTGTTGAGTCTATGGGTGGCAGTGTTGAGTCTATGGGTGGCAGTGTTGAGTCTATGTGTGGCAGTGTTGAGTCTATGGGTGGCAGTGTTGAGTCTATGGGTGGCAGTGTTGAGTCTATGGGTGGCAGTGTTGAGTCTATGGGTGGCAGTGTTGAGTCTATGGGTGGCAGTGCTGAGCCTATGGGTGGCAGTGTTGAGTCTATGGGTGGTAGTGTTGAGTCTATGGGTGGCAGTGCTGAGTCTATGGGTGGCAGTGTTGAGTCTATGGGTGGCAGTGTTGAGTCTATGGGTGGCAGTGCTGAGTCTATGGGTGGCAGTGTTGAGTCTATGGGTGGCAGTGTTGAGTCTATGGGTGGCAGTGTTGAGTCTATGGGTGGCAGTGTTGAGTCTATGGGTGGCAGTGTTGAGTCTATGAGTGGCAGTGTTGAGTCTATGGGTGGCAGTGTTGAGTCTATGGGTGGCAGTGTTGAGTCTATGGGTGGCAGTGTTGAGTCTATGGGTGGCAGTGTTGAGTCTATGGGTGGCAGTGTTGAGTCTATGGGTGGCGTTGTTGAGTCTATGGGTGGCAGTGTTGAGTCTATGGGTGGCAGTGTTGAGTCTATGGTGCAGTGTTGAGTCTATAGGCAATGTTGCGTCTATGGGTAGTGTGGAATCTATGGGTAGTGTTGAGTCTATGGGAAATGTTGAGTCTATGGGCAGTGTTGAGTCTATGGGCAGTGTTGAGGCTATGGGCAATGTTGAGTCTATGGGCAGTGTTGAGTCTATGGGCAGTGTTGAGTCTATGGGCAATGTTTAGTCTATGGGCAGTGTTGAGTCTATGGGCAGTGTTGAGTCTATGGGCAGTGTTGAGTCTATGGGCAGTGTTGAGTCTATGGGCAATGTTGAGTCTATGGGCAGTGTTGAGTTTCTGGGCAGTGTTGAGTCTATGGGCAGTATTGAGTCTATGGGCAGTGCTGAGTCTATGGGCAATGTTGAGTCTATGGGCAGTGTTGAGTCTAAGGGCAATGTTGAGTCTATGGGCAATGTTGAGTCTATGGGCAGTATTGAGTCTATAGGCAGTGCTGAGTCTATGGGCAATGTTGAGTCTATGGGCAGTGTTGAGTCTATGGGCAATGTTGAGTCTATGGGCAGTGTTGAGTCTATGGTGCAGTGATGAGTTTATGGGCAGTGCTGAGCCTATGGGCCGTGTTGAGTCTATGTGTGGCAGTGTTGAGTCTATGGGCAGTGTTGAGTCTATGGGCAATATTGAGTCTATGGGCAATGTTGAGTCTATGGGCAATGTTGAGTCTATGGGCAGTGTTAGTCTATGGGCAGTATTGAGTCTATGGGCAGTGCTGAGTCTATGGGCAATGTTGAGTCTATGGGCAGTGTTGTGTCTATGTGTGGCAGTGTTGAGTCTATGGGCAGTGTTGTGTCTATGTGTGGCAGTGTTGAGTCTATGGGCAGTGTTGAGTCTATGGGTGGCAGTGTTGAGTCTATGGGCAGTGTTGTGTCTATGGGTGGCAGTGTTGAGTCTATGGGTGGCAGTGTTGAGTCTATGGGCAGTGTTGTGTCTATGGGCTATGTTGAGTCTATGGGTGGCAGTGTTGAGTCTATGGGCAATGTTGAGTCTATGGGTCGCAGTGTTGAGTCTATGGGTGGCAGTGTTGAGTCTATGGGTGGCAGTGTTGTGTCTATGGGTAGTGTTGTGTCTATGGGCAATGTTGAGTCTATTGTGGCAGTGTTGTGTCTATGGGTGGCAGTGTTGAGTCTATGGGTAGTGTTGTGTCTATGGTGCAGTGATGAGTCTATGGGTGGTAGTATTGTGTCTATGGGTGGCAGTGTTGAGTCTATTGGTGGCAATGTTGAGTCTATGGGTGGCAGTGTTGAGTCTATGGGCAGTGTTGTGTCTATGGGTGGCAGTGTTGAGTCTATGGGTGGTAGTGTTGTGTCTATGGGTGGCAGTGTTGAGTCTATGGGCAGTGTTGTGTCTATGGTGCAGTGTTGAGTCTATGGGTGGCAGTGTTGAGTCTATGGGTGGCAGTGTTGAGTCTATTGGTGGCAGTGTTGAGTCTATGGGCAGTGTTGTGTCTATGGGTGGCAGTGTTGGGTCTATGGGTGGCAGTGCTGAGTCTATGGTTGGCAGTGTTGAGTCTATGGGTGGCAGTGTTGAGTCTATGGGTGGCAGTGTTGAGTCTATGGGTGGCAGTGCTGAGTCTATGGGTGGCAGTGTTGAGTCTATGGGTGGCAGTGTTGAGTCTATGGGTGGCAGTGTTGAGTCTATTGGTGGCAATGTTGAGTCTATGGGTGGCAGTGTTGAGTCTATGGGTGGCAGTGTTGAGTCTATGGGCAGTGTTGTGTCTATGGGTGGCAGTGTTGAGTCTATGGGCAGTGTTGTGTCTATGGGTGGCAGTGTTGAGTCTATGGGTGGCAGTGTTGGTCTATGGGCAGTGTTGTGTCTATGGGTGGCAGTGTTGAGTCTATGGGTGGCAGTGTTGAGTCTATGGGTGGCAGTGTTGAGTCTATGGGTAGCAGTGTTGAGTCTATGGGTGGCAGTGTTGAGTCTATGGGTGGCAGTGTTGAGTCTATGGGTGGCAGTGTTGAGTCTATGGGTGGCAGTGTTGAGTCTATGGGTGGCAGTGTTGAGTCTATGGGTGGCAGTGTTGAGTCTATGGGTGGCAGTGTGAGTCTATGGGTGGCAGTGTTGAGTCTATGGGTGGCAGTGTTGAGTCTATGTGCTTCCAATAGAGGTCGCGATTGAACTTACTTGGGCCACACGTGGATTCCAAAGTGATGGTCTCAGCTGAGTAATTAAGGCAGCGCTGTGGAAACAGGAGAAACGGAGAGATGTGTCACCCACTCATCCACCCACTCACCCACCCACTCACCCACTCACCCACTCACTCACCCACCCACTCACCCACCCACTCACCCACCCACTCACCCAACCACTCACCAAACCACTCACTCACCCACCCACTCACCCACCCACTCACCCACCCACTCACTCACCCATCCACTCACCCACCCACTCACTCACCCACTCACTCACCCACCCACTCACCCATCCACTCACCCACCCACTCACTCACTCACCCACTCACCCACCCACTCACCCACCCACTCACCCAACCACTCACCCAACGACTCACCCACCCACTCACTCACCCACCCACTCACCCACCCACCCACTCACCCACCCACTCACCCACCCACTCACTCACTCACCCACCCACTCACCCACCCACCCACTCACCCACCCACCCACTCACCCACCCACTCACCCACCCACTCACCCACCCACCCACCCACTCACCCACCCACTCACTCAGCCACCCACTCACCCAACCACTTACCAAACCACTCACTCACCCACCCACTCACCCACCTACTCACCCACCCACTCACCCACCAACTCACCCACCTACTCACCCACCCACCCATTCACCCACTTACCCATCCACTGACCCACTCGCTCACTCACCCACTCGTTCACTCACCCACCCATTCACCCACCTACTCACCCACCTTCTCCCCTATTCACTCGCTCACTCACCCAGTCGCTCACTCACTCACCCACCCAACCACTCACCCACCCACCCACTCACCCACTCACTCACCCACTCATCCACCCACTCACCAACCCACTAGCTCACCGATTCAACTACCCATTCAATCACTCAGTCATTCGCTCAGTGAGTGAGTGGAGGAGTGAGTGAGAGGGTGAGTGAGAGGGTGAGCGAGCGGGCATCGAGTTAGCAAATACCTGAGTGAACGGGCGAGCGGGTGAGCGGGAACGTGAGTGAACGAGCGAGTGAGCGGGTGAGTGGGTACGTGAGTGAACAAGCGGGTAAGTGGGTACGTGAGTGAGTGAGCGGGTGAGTGGGTACGTGAGTGAACGAGCGAATGAGCGGGTGAGTGAGTACGTGAGTGAGTGAGCGGGTAAGTGGGTACGTGAGTGAGTGAGCGGGTGAGTGGGTACGTGAGTGAACGAGCGAGCGAGTGGGTGAGTGGGTACGTGAGTGAACGAGCGAGTGAGCGGGTGAGTGGGTACGTGAGTGAACGAGCAGGCAAGCGGGTGAGTGGATATGTGAGTGAACGAGCGAGTGAGCGGGTGAGTGGGTAAGTGAGTTGACGAGCGAGTGAGCAAGTGGGTGAGTGGGTACGTGAGTGAGTGAACGAGCGGGTGAGTGGGTGAGTGGGTACGTGAGTGAGTGAACGAGCGGGTGAGTGGGTACGTGAGTGAACGAGCGAGCGAGTGGGTGAGTGGGTATGTGAGTGAACGAGTGAGTGAGCGGGTGAGTGGGTACGTGAGTGAGCGAGCGAGCGGGTGAGTGGGTACGTGAGTGAACGAGTGAGTGGGTGAGTGGGTACGTGAGTGAACGAGCGAGTGGGTGAGTGGGTACGTGAGTGAGTGAGCGAGTGGGTGAGCGAGTACGTGAGTGAGCGGGCAAGTGGGTGAGTGGGTACGTAAGTGAACGAGCGAGTGGGTGAGTGGGTACGTGAGTGAACGAGTGAGTGAGCGGGTGAGTGGGTACGTGAGTGAGCGAGCGAGTGGGTGAGTGGGTACGTGAGTGAACGAGTGAGTGAGCGGGTGAGTGGGTACGTGAGTGAGTGAACGAGCGAGTGGGTACGTGAGTGAACGAGTGAGTGAGCGGGTGAGTGGGTCCGTGAGTGAGTGAGCGAGTGGGTGAGTGGGTACGTGAGTGAACGAGCGAGCGAGTGGGTGAGTGGGTACGTGAGTGAGTGAGCGAGTGGGTGAGTGGGTACGTGAGTGAACGAGTGAGTGAGCGGGTGAGTGGGTACGTGAGTGAGTGAACGAGCGAGTGGGTACGTGAGTGAACGAGTGAGTGAGCGGGTGAGTGGGTCCGTGAGTGAACGAGCGAGTGGGTGAGTGAGTGGGTCCGTGAGTGAACGAGCGAGTGAGCGGGTGAGTGGGTACGTGAGTGAGCGAGTAAGCGGGTGAGTGAACGAGGGAGTGGGTGAGTGGGTGAGTGGGTCCGTGAGTGAACGAGCGAGTGAGCGGGTGAGTGGGTACGTGAGTGAGCGAGTAAGCGGGTGAGTGAACGAGGGAGTGGGTGAGTGGGTGAGTGGGTCCGTGAGTGAACGAGTAAGCGGGTGAGTGGGTACGTGAGTGAACGAGCGAGTAAGCGGGTGAGTGAACGAGGGAGTGGGTGAGTGGGTGAGTGGGTCCGTGAGTGAACGAGTAAGCGGGTGAGTGGGTACGTGAGTGAACGAGCGAGTAAGCGGGTGAGTGAACGAGGGAGTGGGTGAGTGGGTGAGTGGGTCCGTGAGTGAACGAGTAAGCGGGTGAGTGGGTACGTGAGTGAACGAGCGAGTAAGCGGGTGAGTGAACGAGGGAGTGGGTGAGTGGGTGAGTGGGTCCGTGAGTGAACGAGTAAGCGGGTGAGTGGGTACGTGAGTGAACGAGCGAGTAAGCGGGTGAGTGAACGAGGGAGTGGGTGAGTGGGTGAGTGGGTCCGTGAGTGAACGAGTAAGCGGGTGAGTGGGTACGTGAGTGAACGAGCGAGTAAGCGGGTGAGTGAACGAGGGAGTGGGTGAGTGGGTGAGTGGGTCCGTGAGTGAACGAGTAAGCGGGTGAGTGGGTACGTGAGTGAACGAGCGAGTAAGCGGGTGAGTGAACGAGGGAGTGGGTGAGTGGGTGAGTGGGTGAGTGGGTCCGTGAGTGAACGAGTAAGCGGGTGAGTGGGTACGTGAGTGAACGAGCGAGTAAGCGGGTGAGTGAATGAGGGAGTGGGTGAGTGGGTGAGTGGGTCCGTGAGTGAACGAGTAAGCGGGTGAGTGGGTACGTGAGTGAACGAGCGAGTAAGCGGGTGAGTGAACGAGGGAGTGGGTGAGTGGGTGAGTGGGTCCGTGAGTGAACGAGTAAGCGGGTGAGTGGGTACGTGAGTGAACGAGCGAGTAAGCGGGTGAGTGAACGAGGGAGTGGGTGAGTGGGTGAGTGGGTCCGTGAGTGAACGAGTAAGCGGGTGAGTGGGTACGTGAGTGAACGAGCGAGTAAGCGGGTGAGTGAACGAGGGAGTGGGTGAGTGGGTGAGTGGGTCCGTGAGTGAACGAGTAAGCGGGTGAGTGGGTACGTGAGTGAACGAGCGAGTAAGCGGGTGAGTGAACGAGGGAGTGGGTGAGTGGGTGAGTGGGTCCGTGAGTGAACGAGTAAGCGGGTGAGTGGGTACGTGAGTGAACGAGCGAGTAAGCGGGTGAGTGAACGAGGGAGTGGGTGAGTGGGTGAGTGGGTCCGTGAGTGAACGAGTAAGCGGGTGAGTGGGTACGTGAGTGAACGAGCGAGTAAGCGGGTGAGTGAACGAGGGAGTGGGTGAGTGGGTGAGTGGGTCCGTGAGTGAACGAGTAAGCGGGTGAGTGGGTACGTGAGTGAACGAGCGAGTAAGCGGGTGAGTGAACGAGGGAGTGGGTGAGTGGGTGAGTGCGTCCGTGAGTGAACGAGTAAGCGGGTGAGTGGGTACGTGAGTGAACGAGCGAGTAAGCGGGTGAGTGAACGAGGGAGTGGGTGAGTGGGTGAGTGGGTCCGTGAGTGAACGAGTAAGCGGGTGAGTGGGTACGTGAGTGAACGAGCGAGTAAGCGGGTGAGTGAACGAGGGAGTGGGTGAGTGGGTGAGTGGGTCCGTGAGTGAACGAGTAAGCGGGTGAGTGGGTACGTGAGTGAACGAGCGAGTAAGCGGGTGAGTGAACGAGGGAGTGGGTGAGTGGGTGAGTGGGTCCGTGAGTGAACGAGTAAGCGGGTGAGTGGGTACGTGAATGAACGAGCGAGTAAGCGGGTGAGTGAACGAGGGAGTGGGTGAGTGGGTGAGTGGGTACGTGAGTGAGCGAGCGATTGAGCGAGCGGGCGGGCGGGCGGGCGATTGCTCACGGCGCAGGGTTAGCTGGCAGCTGGTGGACGCCTCTCCCAGCCCGTTAGTCGCCCGGCAGGAGTAGCAGCCCGCCAGCGCCGGCCCCGGGCGACGGACCTCCAGCGTGCAGACTCCCTGGGAGTGCAGCGAACGGAAGCCCAACTCCTCGGAGACGCACGACTCCCCACGGAACCACGCAATGTGGGGCTGCGGACCGGGGGGAGACGCGGGGAGACATGGGGGAGTCATGGTGAGACGCGGGGAGACGCGGGGAGACACGTGTAGTATTGACTGTGGTGGAGAGCGTGGTGGTGGTGAGCGTGGTGGTGAGCGTGGTGAGCATGGTGGTAGTGGTGGTGAGCATGGTGGTGGTGGTGAGCGTGGTGGTGGTGGTGAGTGTGGTGGTGGTGGTGGTGGTGGTGAGCGTAGTGGTGAGCGTGGTGGTGGTGATGAGCATGGTGGTGGTGGTGGTGAGTATTGCTCACCTTTGGGTAGGCAGGGGAATCCCTATACGTGGTGGTGGTGGTGGTGGTGAGCGTGGTGGTGGTGGTGATGGTAGTGGTGAGCATGATGGTGGTGGTGAGCGTGGTGGTGGTGTTGGTAGTGGTGAGTGTGGTGGTGAGTATTGCTCACCTTTGGGTGAGCACGCACACTACAGGTGAGTAGACAGGGGAATCCCTGCACGTGGTGGTGGTGGTGGTGAGGATGGTGGTGGTGTTGGTGGTGGTGATGGTGGTGAGGATGGTGGTGGTGGTGGTGGTGGTAGTGGTGAGGATGGTAGTGGTGAGGATGGTGGTGGTGTTGGTGGTGGTGAGGATGGTGGTGGTGAGGATGGTAGTGGTGAGCGTGGTGGTGTTGGTGGTGGTGAGGATGGTGGTGGTGAGGATGGTAGTGGTGAGCGTGGTGGTGTTGGTGGTGGTGAGGATGGTGGTGGTGAGGATGGTGTGGTAGTGGTGAGCATGGTGGTGAGTATTGCTCACCTTTGGGTGAGCACGCACGCTACAGGTGAGTAGACAGGGGAACCCCTGCACGTGGTGGTAGTGGTGGTGAGGATGGTGGTGGTGTTGGTAGTGGTGAGGATGGTAGTGGTGAGGATGGTGGTGGTGTTGGTGGTGGTGAGGATGGTGGTGGTGAGGATGGTGGTGGTGTTGGTGAGTGTAGTGGTGAGTATTGCTCACCTTTGGGTGAGCACGCACACTACAGGTGAGTAGACAGGGGAACCCCTGCACGTGGTGGTGGTGGTGGTGAGGATGGTGGTGGTGTTGGTAGTGGTGAGGATGGTAGTGGTGAGGATGGTGGTGGTGTTGGTGGTGGTGAGGATGGTGGTGGTGAGGATGGTGTGGTAGTGGTGAGCATGGTGGTGAGTATTGCTCACCTTTGGGTGAGCACGCACGCTACAGGTGAGTAGACAGGGGAACCCCTGCACGGCTCTGACGTCACTCAGGGGCTGCGTGAAGCTGGGAGCCTCGCTCGGGTCACGTGGCACGAACGGCGGCGGGCGCCACTCCCAGCCTGCAACCACAACCACCGCAACCATCGTCATAGCAACCATCGTCATAGCAACCATCGTCATAGCAACCATCGTCATCACAACCACCACAACCATCACAACCATCGTCATCACAACCATCGCAACCATCACAACCATCGTCATAGCAACCACCGTCATAGCAACCACCGCAACCACCGCAACCACCATCACAACCACCGCAACCACCGCAACCATCGTCATCGCAACCAACGCAACCATCACAACCATCACAACCATCACAACCATCGTCATCGCAACCATCACAACCATCTCAACCATCGCAACCATCACAACCATCACAACCATCACAACCATCGTCATAGCAACCACCGCAACCATCGCAACCATCACAACCATCACAACCATCACAACCATCGTCATAGCAACCATCGCAACCACCGCAATCATCGCAACCACCGCAACCATCGCAACCATCGTCATAGCAACCATCGCAACCACCGCAACTATCGTCATAGCAACCACCGCAACCATCATCGCAACCACCGCAACCACCGCAACCACCATCGCAACCACCGCAACCATCGTCATAGCAACCATCACAACCACCGCAACCATCGTCATAGCAACCATCGCAACCACCGCAACCATCGTCATAGCAACCATTGCAACCACCGCCACCATCGTCATAGCAACCATCGCAACCACCGCAACCACCGCAACCACCGCAACCATCGTCATAGCAACCATCGCAACCACCGCAACCATCGTCATAGCAACCATTGCAACCACCGCAACCATCGTCATAGCAACCATCACAACCACCGCAACCACCGCAACCACCGCAACCATCACAACCACCGCAACCATCACAACCACCGCAACCATCACAACCATCACAACCACCACAACCACCACAACCATCGTCATCGCAACCACCGCAACCATCGCAATCGCAACCGCCATCGCAACCACCACAACAACCACCACCACAGCCACAACCACCACCACAACCACCACTACAACCACCACAGCAACAACAACCACCACAGCCACCACCACAACCACCACAAAAACAACCACCGCCACCACAACCACCACAACCACCACCACCACAGCCACAACCACCACCACAACCACCACTACAACCACCACAACCACCACTACCACCACAGCCACCACCACAACCACCACAAAAACAACCACCGCCACCACAACCACCACAACCACCACCACCACAGCCACAACCACCACAACCACCACCACAACCACCACAAAAACAACCACCGCCACCACAACCACCACAACCACCACAACCACCACCGCAACAACCACCACCACAACCACCACAGCCACCACCGCAACAACCACCAACACAACCACCACAACCACCACAACAACCACCACCACCACGCAATCCGCTAGGGGGTGACGTTGGTGGTGGTGATGCCCTTTGTAGGAGTACGAGTGAGTGGGTGAGTGAGTGGGTGGGTGAGTGAGTGGGTGGGTGAGTGAGTGGGTGAGTGAGTGGGTGAGTGAGTGGGTGAGTGAGTGAGTGAGTGGGTGAGTGAGTGAGTGGGTGGGTGAGTGAGTGAGTGGGTGAGTGAGTGGGTGGGTGGGTGAGTGGGTGAGTGAGTGAGTGGGTGAGTGAGTGGGTGAGTGAGTGGGTGAGTGAGTGGGTTAGTGAGTGAGTGGATGAGTTAGTGATTGAGTGGGTTGGTGAGTGAGTGAGTGGGTGAGTGACTGAGTGAGTGAGTGAGTGGGTGAGTGAGTGGGTGAGTGAGTGGGTTAGTGAGTGGGTGAGTGGATGAGTGAGTGAGTGAGTGGGTGAGTGAGTGAGTGAGTGGGTGAGTGACTGAGTGAGTGTGTGAGTGAGTGGGTGAGTGAGTGGGTGAGTGAGTGAGTGGGTGAGTGAGTGGGTGGGTGAGTGAGTGGGTGAGTGAGTGAGTGAGTGGGTGGGTGAGTGACTGAGTGAGTGAGTGGGTGAGTGAGTGAGTGGGTGAATGAGTGGGTGGGTGAGTGAGTGGGTGAGTGAGTGGGTGAGTGAGTGGGTGAGTGAGTGAGTGGGTGAGTAAGTGAGTGAGTGAGGGAGTGGGTGAGTAAGTGAGTGAGTGGATGAGTGAGTGAGTGGGTGGGTGAGTGAGTGGGTGAGTGAGTGGGTGAGTGAGTGGGTGAGTGAGTGGGTGAGTGGGTGAGTGAGTGGGTGAGTGAGTGAGTGGGTGAGGGAGTGGGTGAGTAAGTGAGTGAGTGCATGAGTGAGTGAGTGGGTGAGTGAGTGAGTGAGTGGGTGAGTGACTGAGTGAGTGTGTGAGTGAGTGGGTGAGTGAGTGGGTGAGTGAGTGAGTGGGTGAGTGAGTGGGTGGGTGAGTGAGTGAGTGAGTGGGTGAGTGACTGAGTGAGTGAGTGAGTGGGTGAGTGAGTGAGTGGGTGAATGAGTGGGTTAGTGAGTGGGTGAGTGGGTGAGTGAGTGGGTGAGTGAGTGAGTGTTTGAGTGAGTGAATGAGTGAGTGGGTGAGTGAGTAGGTGGGTGAGTGAGTGAGTGAGTGGGTGGGTGAGTGAGTGGGTGAGTGAGTGAGTGAGTGGGTGAGTGAGTGGGTGAGTGAGTGAGTGAGTGGGTGAGTGAGTGAATGAGTCAGCGAGCGAGTGAGTGGGTGAGTGAATGAGTGAGTGAGTGGTGAGTGGGTGAGTGAGTGAATGAGTGAGTGGTGAGTGGGTGAGTGAGTGAGTGAGTGGGTGAGTGAGTGAGTGAGTGGGTGAGTGAGTGAATGAGTCCGCGAGTGAGTGAGTGGGTGAGTGAATGAGTGAGTGAGTGAGTGGGTGAGTGAGTGAGTGAGTGAATGAGCGAGTGAGTGAGTGAGTGAGTGGTGGACTCACCCGGCTTGGGGATGAGGGTGGACTGTGGGGTGACTCCTGCCATGAGGCTCGACCCACAGTCATTGTGAGCGAACACGCGGAAATTGTAGAAGTTGCCCACCACCAGGCCCGAGATGGTGGACGAGCAACGGTGGACGTGGGCCACAGCCTTGAACCACTCCTGCTCCACCACCACCACCACAACAACCATCAACAACAACCACCAACAACAACCACCACCACTACCACCACAACAACCACCATCACCACCACAACCATCAACAACAACCATCACAACATCCACCACAACCACCACCACGACCACAACCGCCTTGAACCACTCCTGCTCCACCACCACCACCACCACCACAACAACCATCAACAACAACCACCACAACAACCACCACAACAACCACCATCACCACCACAACCATCAACAACAACCGCCACAACAACCACCACGACCACAACCGCCTTGAACCACTCCTGCTCCACCACCACCACCACCACAACAACCATCAACAACAACCACCACAACAACCACCACAGGAACCACCACTACCACCACAACAATCAACAACAACCGCCTTGAACCATTCCTGCTCCACCACCACCACAACAACCATCAACAACAACCACCACAACAACCACCACAGGAACCACCACTACCACCACAACAACCACCAGGACCACAACCGCCTTAAACCACTCCTCCACCACAACCACCACAACAACCACCACTACCACCACCACCACCACAAACAACCACCACTACCACCACAACAATCAACAACAACCACAACCGCCTTGAATCACTCCTACACCACAACCACCACCACAACCATCAACAACAACCACCACAACAACCACCACTACCACTACCACCACAACAACCATCAACAACAACCACCACAACAACCACCACTACCACCACAACAACCACGACTACCACCACAACAATCAACAACAACCGCCTTGAACCATTCCTGCTCCACCACAACCACCACAACAACCATCAACAACAACCACCACAACAACCACGACTACCACCACAACAATCAACAACAACCACAACCGCCTTGAATCACTCCTGCACCACAACCACCATAACCACCACAACAACCATCAACAACAACCACCACAACAACCACCACTACCACCACAACAATCAACAACAACCACAACCGCCTTGAACCACTCCTGCACCACAACCACCGCAACAACCACCACTACCACCACCACGACAATGTGTCTCCGTGTCTCCCCGTGTCTCCCCGTGTCTCTCCGTGTCTCCCCGTGTCTCCACGTCTCCCCGTGTCTCTCTGTATCTCCCCGTGTCGATCTGTGTCTCTCCGTGTCTCTCTGTGTCTCTCCGTGTCTCCACGTCTCCCCGTGTCTCTCTGTATCTCCCCGTGTCGATCTGTGTCTCTCCGTGTCTCTCTGTGTCTCTCCGTGTCTCTCCGTGTCTCCACGTCTCCCCGTGTCTCCACATCTCCCTGTGTCTCTCCGTGTCTCTCCGTGTCTCCACGTCTCCCCGTGTCTCCACATCTCCCTGTGTCTCTCCGTGTCTCTCTGTGTCTCTCCGTGTCTCCCCGTGTCTCCATGTCTCTCCACGTCTCCCCGTGTCTCTCTGTATCTCCCCGTGTCTCTCCGTGTCTCTCTGTATCTCCCCGTGTCTCTCTGTATCTCCCCGTGTCTCTCCTTGTCTCCCTGTGTCGCCTCGTGTCTCTCTGTGTCTCCACGTCTCCCCGTGTCTCCACGTCTCCCCGTGTCTCTCTGTATCTCCCCGTGTCTCTGCGTGTCTCCCCGTGTCTCTCTGTGTCTCTCTATGTCTCCCCGTGTCTCTCCGTGTCTCCCCGTGTCTCACTGTATCTCCAGGTGTCTCTCTGTATCTCCCCGTGTTTCCCCGTGTCTCCACGTCTCCCCGTGTCTCCACGTCTCTCCGTGTCTCTCTGTATCTCCCCGTGTCTCTCCGTGTCTCCACGTCTCCTCGTGTCTCCCCGTATCTCTCCATGTCTCCTTGTGTCTGTCTGTGTCTCCATGTCTCTCTATGTCTCTCTGTCTCCCCCTGTCTCACCCCGTGTCTCACCCCGTGTCTCACCCCGTGTCTCTGTGTGTCTCCGTGTCTCACCATGGACTTGGTGTCCTGCTTGTATACGCTGTACCCCGTGTCTCACCCCGTGTCTCCGTGTCTCACCCCGTGTCTCCGTGTGTCTCCGTGTGTCTCTGTGTGTCTCCGTGTCTCCGTGTCTCACCATGGACTTGGTGTCCTGTTTGTCTACGCTGTACCCCGTGATGTCCGCGTTGCCGGTGTCTCTGTGTGTCTCTGTGTGTCTCCGTGTGTCTCTGTGTCTCCGTGTGTCTCCGTGTGTCTCTGTGTGTCTCCGTGTGTCTCACCCCGTGTCTCCGTGTGTCTCTGTGTGTCTCTGTGTGTCTCCGTGTGTCTCCGTGTGTCTCACCCCGTGTCTCTGTGTCTCCGTGTGTCTCTGTGTGTATCCGTGTGTCTCTGTGTGTCTCCGTGTCTCCGTGTGTTTCTATGTGTCTCTGTGTGTCTCTGTGTGTCTCCGTGTGTCTCCGTGTCTCTGTGTGTCTCTGTGTGTCTCCGTGTGTCTCCGTGTGTCTCTGTGTGTCTCCGTGTGTCTCTGTGTGTCTCCGTGTGTCTCCGTGTCTCACCCCGTGTCTCCGTGTGTCTCTGTGTGTCTCCGTGTCTCCGTGTCTCACCATGGACTTGGTGTCCTGTTTGTCTACGCTGTACCCCGTGATGTCCGTGTTGCCGGTGTCTCCGTGTGTCTCCGTGTGTCTCCGTGTGTCTCTGTGTGTCTCCGTGTGTCTCCGTGATCTCCGTGTGTCTCTGTGTGTCTCTGTGTGTATCGTGTGTCTCCGTGTGTCTCTGTGTGTCTCCGTGTGTCTCCGTGTGTCTCACCATGGACTTGGTGTTCTGTTTGTATACGCTGTACACCGTGATGTCCGTGTTGCCGGTGTCTCTGTGTGTCTCCGTGTGTCTCCGTGATCTCCGTGTCTCCGTGTGTCTCCGTGTGTCTCTGTGTGTCTCCGTGTGTCTCCGTGTGTCTCTGTGTGTCTCCGTGTGTCTCCGTGTCTCCCCATAGACTTGGTGTCCTGTTTGTCTACGCTGTACCCCGTGATGTCCGTGTTGCCCGTGTCTCTGTGTGTCTCCGTGTGTCTCAGTGTCTCCGTGTGTCTCCGTGTGTCTCCGTGTGTCTCACCATAGACTTGGTGTCCTGTTTGTCTACGCTGTACCCCGTGATGTCCGTGTTGCCCGTGTCTCTGTGTGTCTCCGTGTGTCTCTGTGTCTCACCATAGACTTGGTGTCCTGTTTGTCTACGCTGTACCCCGTGATGTCCGTGTTGCCCGTGTCTCTGTGTGTCTCCGTGTGTCTCTGTGTCTCACCATAGACTTGGTGTCCTGTTTGTCTACGCTGTACCCCGTGATGTCCGAGTTGCCCGTGTCTCTGTGTGTCTCCGTGTGTCTCTGTGTCTCACCATAGACTTGGTGTCCTGTTTGTCTACGCTGTACCCCGTGATGTCCGTGTTGCCCGTGTCTCTGTGTGTCTCCGTGTGTCTCTGTGTCTCACCATAGACTTGGTGTCCTGTTTGTCTACGCTGTACCCCGTGATGTCCGAGTTGCCCGTGTCTCTGTGTGTCTCCGTGTGTCTCTGTGTCTCACCATAGACTTGGTGTCCTGTTTGTCTACGCTGTACCCCGTGATGTCCGAGTTGCCCGTGTCTCTGTGTGTCTCCGTGTGTCTCTGTGTCTCACCATAGACTTGGTGTCCTGTTTGTCTACGCTGTACCCCGTGATGTCCGAGTTGCCCGTGTCTCTGTGTGTCTCCGCGTGTCTCTGTGTCTCACCATAGACTTGGTGTCCTGTTTGTCTACGCTGTACCCCGTGATGTCCGAGTTGCCCGTGTCTCTGTGTGTCTCCGTGTGTCTCCGGGTGTCTCACCATAGACTTGGTGTCCTGTTTGTCTACGCTGTACCCCGTGATGTCCGAGTTGCCCGTGTCTCTGTGTGTCTCCGTGTGTCTCTGTGTCTCACCATAGACTTGGTGTCCTGTTTGTCTACGCTGTACCCCGTGATGTCCGAGTTGCCCGTGTCTCTGTGTGTCTCCGTGTGTCTCTGTGTCTCACCATAGACTTGGTGTCCTGTTTGTCTACGCTGTACCCCGTGATGTCCGAGTTGCCCGTGTCTCTGTGTGTCTCCGTGTGTCTCCGTGTCTCACCATAGACTTGGTGTCCTGTTTGTCTACGCTGTACCCCGTGATGTCCGTGTTGCCCGTGTCTCTGTGTGTCTCCGTGTGTCTCTGTGTCTCACCATAGACTTGGTGTCCTGTTTGTCTACGCTGTACCCCGTGATGTCCGAGTTGCCCGTGTCTCTGTGTGTCTCCGTGTGTCTCTGTGTCTCACCATAGACTTGGTGTCCTGTTTGTCTACGCTGTACCCCGTGATGTCCGAGTTGCCCGTGTCTCTGTGTGTCTCCGTGTGTCTCCGTGTGTCTCACCATAGACTTGGTGTCCTGTTTGTCTACGCTGTACCCCGTGATGTCCGTGTTGCCCGTGTCTCTGTGTGTCTCCGTGTGTCTCTGTGTGTCTCACCATAGACTTGGTGTCCTGTTTGTCTACGCTGTACCCCGTGATGTCCGTGTTACCCGTGTCTCTGTGTGTCTCCGTGTGTCTCAGTGTCTCCGTGTGTCTCCGTGTGTCTCCGTGTGTCTCACCATAGACTTGGTGTCCTGTTTGTCTACGCTGTACCCCGTGATGTCCGTGTTGCCCGTGTCTCTGTGTGTCTCCGTGTGTCTCTGTGTCTCACCATAGACTTGGTGTCCTGTTTGTCTACGCTGTACCCCGTGATGTCCGTGTTGCCCGTGTCTCTGTGTGTCTCCGTGTGTCTCTGTGTCTCACCATAGACTTGGTGTCCTGTTTGTCTACGCTGTACCCCGTGATGTCCGAGTTGCCCGTGTCTCTGTGTGTCTCCGTGTGTCTCTGTGTCTCACCATAGACTTGGTGTCCTGTTTGTCTACGCTGTACCCCGTGATGTCCGAGTTGCCCGTGTCTCTGTGTGTCTCCGTGTGTCTCTGTGTCTCACCATAGACTTGGTGTCCTGTTTGTCTACGCTGTACCCCGTGATGTCCGAGTTGCCCGTGTCTCTGTGTGTCTCCGTGTGTCTCCGTGTGTCTCACCATAGACTTGGTGTCCTGTTTGTCTACGCTGTACCCCGTGATGTCCGAGTTGCCCGTGTCTCTGTGTGTCTCCGTGTGTCTCTGTGTCTCACCATAGACTTGGTGTCCTGTTTGTCTACGCTGTACCCCGTGATGTCCGAGTTGCCCGTGTCTCTGTGTGTCTCCGTGTGTCTCTGTGTCTCACCATAGACTTGGTGTCCTGTTTGTCTACGCTGTACCCCGTGATGTCCGAGTTGCCCGTGTCTCTGTGTGTCTCCGTGTGTCTCCGTGTGTCTCACCATAGACTTGGTGTCCTGTTTGTCTACGCTGTACCCCGTGATGTCCGAGTTGCCCGTGTCTCTGTGTGTCTCCGTGTGTCTCTGTGTCTCACCATAGACTTGGTGTCCTGTTTGTCTACGCTGTACCCCGTGATGTCCGAGTTGCCCGTGTCTCTGTGTGTCTCCGTGTGTCTCTGTGTCTCACCATAGACTTGGTGTCCTGTTTGTCTACGCTGTACCCCGTGATGTCCGAGTTGCCCGTGTCTCTGGGCTTGTCCCAGCGCAGGGAAACCGAACAGCCCGAGACCTCCAGCACCTCCACACGGACAGGCGGGCCGGGCCGGTCTGGGACACGCGGAGACACGCGGAGACACGTGGAGACACGTGGAGACACGCGGAGACACAGTGGAGACACGCGGCTACACGTGGAGACACGCGGCGACACCCGGTGACACACTAGAGACACACTAGAAACACACTAGAGACACACTAGAGACACACTAGAGACACACTAGAGACACGCTAGAGACACACTAGAGACACACGGAGACAACACTAGAGACACGTGGAGACACACGGAGACAACACTAGAGACACGTGGAGACACACGGAGACACGCGGAGACACACTAGCGACACGCGGAGACACACGGAGACACACGGAGACACGTGGAGACACACTAGAGACACACTAGAGACACGCGGAGACACACTAGAGACACACTAGAGACACACTAGAGACACGCGGAGACACACTAGAGACACACTAGAGACACGTGGAGACACACTAGAGACACGTGGAGACACACTAGAGACACACTAGAGACACACTAGAGACACTCTAGAGACACACTAGAGACACACTAGAGACACGTGGAGACACACTAGAGACACACTAGAGACACACTAGAGACACACTAGAGACACGTGGAGACAAGCGGAGACACACTAGAGACACACTAGAGACACACTAGAGACACACTAGAGACACACTAGAGACACACTAGAGACACACTAGAGACACACTAGAGACACACTAGAGACACACTAGAGACACACTAGAGACACACTAGAGACACACTAGAGACACACTAGAGACACACTAGAGACACACTAGAGACACACTAGAGACACACTAGAGACACACTAGAGACACACGGAGACACACTAGAGACAGGAAGAGACACACTAGAGACACACTAGAGACACACTAGAGACAGGAAGAGACACACTAGAGACACACTAGAGACAGGAAGAGACACACTAGAGACACACTAGAGACACACTAGAGACACACTAGAGACACGTGGAGACACGTGGAGACACACTAGAGACACACTAGAGACACACTAGAGACACGTGGAGACAAGCGGAGACACACTAGAGACACACTAGAGACACACTAGAGACACACTAGAGACACACTAGAGACACACTAGAGACACACTAGAGACACACAGAGACACACTAGAGACACACTAGAGACACACTAGAGACACACTAGAGACACACTAGAGACACACTAGAGACACGCGGAGACACACGGAGACACGCGGAAACACGTGGAGACACACTAGAGACACACTAGAGACACGTGGAGACACACTAGAGACACACTAGAGACACACTAGAGACACGTGGAGACACACTAGAGACACACTAGAGACACACTAGAGACACACTAGAGACACACTAGAGACACACTAGAGACACACTAGAGACACACTAGAGACACATGAAGACACACGGAGACACGTGGAGACACACTAGAGACACACTAGAGACACACTAGAGACACACTAGAGACACGCGGAGACACACGGAGACACGCGGAAACACGTGGAGACACACTAGAGACACACTAGAGACACACTAGAGACACACTAGAGACACACTAGAGACACACTAGAGACACACTAGAGACACACTAGAGACACACTAGAGACACACTAGAGACACACTAGAGACACACTAGAGACACACAGAGACACACTAGAGACACGTGGAGACACACTAGAGACACACTAGAGACACACTAGAGACACACGGAGACACGTGGAGACACACTAGAGACACACTAGAGACACACTAGAGACACACAGAGACACACTAGAGACACACTAGAGACACACTAGAGACACACTAGAGACACACTAGAGACACACAGAGACACACTAGAGACACGTGGAGACACACTAGAGACACACTAGAGACACACTAGAGACACACTAGAGACACACTAGAGACAGGAAGAGACACACTAGAGACACACTAGAGACACACTAGAGACACACTAGAGACACACTAGAGACACACTAGAGACACACTAGAGACACACTAGAGACACGTGGAGACAAGCGGAGACACACTAGAGACACACTAGAGACACACTAGAGACACACTAGAGACACACTAGAGACACACTAGAGACACACTAGAGACACACTAGAGACACACTAGAGACAGGAAGAGACACACGGAGACACACTAGAGACACACTAGAGACACACTAGAGACACACTAGAGACACGTTAGAGACACACGGAGACACACTAGAGACACGTGGAGACACACTAGAGACACACTAGAGACACACTAGAGGCACGTGGAGACACACTAGAGACACACGGAGACACACTAGAGACACGTGGAGACACACTAGAGACACACTAGAGACACACTAGAGGCACGTGGAGACACACTAGAGACACACTAGAGACACACTAGAGACACGTGGAGACACACGGAGACACACTAGAGACACTAGAGACACGTGGAGACACGTGGAGACACACTAGAGACACTAGAGACACGTGGAGACACACGGAGACACACTAGAGACACTAGAGACACGTGGAGACACACAGAGACACACTAGAGACACACTAGAGACACACTAGAGACACACTAGAGACACACAGAGACACGTGGAGACACACTAGAGACACACTAGAGACACACTAGAGACACAGTAGAGACACGCGGAGACACACTAGAGACACACTAGAGACACACTAGAGACACACTAGAGACACGTGGAGACACAGTAGAGACACGTGGAGACACAATAGAGACACACTAGAGATACGTGGAGACACACGGAGACACGTGGAGACACACGGAGACACACGGAGACACACTAGAGACACACGTAGACACGTGGAGACACATTAGAGACACACTAGAGACACACTAGAGACACACTAGAGACACACTAGAGACACGTGGAGACACACTAGAGACACACTAGAGACACACTAGAGACACACAGAGACACACTAGAGACACACTAGAGACACACAGAGACACACTAGAGACACACTAGAGACACACTAGAGACACACTAGAGACACACTAGAGACACACTAGAGACACACTAGAGACACGTGGAGACACAGTAGAGACACGTGGAGACACACTAGAGACACACTAGAGACACGTGGAGACACGTGGAGACACACTAGAGACACACTAGAGACACACTAGAGACACACTAGAGACACACTAGAGACACACGGAGACACACTAGAGACACACTAGAGACACACTAGAGACACACTAGAGACACACTAGAGACACACTAGAGACACGTGGAGACACACTAGAGACACACTAGAGACACACTAGAGACACACTAGAGACACACTAGAGACACACTAGAGACACACAGAGACACGTGGAGACACACTAGAGACACACTAGAGACACACTAGAGACACACTAGAGACACACTAGAGACACACTAGAGACACACTAGAGACACACTAGAGACACACTAGAGACACACTAGAGACACACTAGAGACACACAGAGACACGTGGAGACACACTAGAGACACACTAGAGACACACGGAGACACGTGGAGACACACTAGAGACACACTAGAGACACACTAGAGGACACACTAGAGACCCACTAGAGACACACTAGAGACACACTAGAGACACCCAGAGACACGTGGAGACACACTAGAGACACACTAGAGACACACTAGAGACACACTAGAGACACACTAGAGACACACTAGAGACACACTAGAGACACACTAGAGACACGTGGAGACACGTGGAGACACACTAGAGACAGGAAGAGACACACTAGAGACACACTAGAGACACACTAGAGACACACTAGAGACACGTGGAGACACGTGGAGACACACTAGAGACACACTAGAGACACACTAGAGACACACTAGAGACACGTGGAGACACACGGAGACACGTGGAGACACACTAGAGACACACTAGAGACACGTGGAGACACGTGGAGACACACTAGAGACACACTAGAGACACACTAGAGACACACTAGAGACAGGAAGAGACACACTAGAGACACACTAGAGACACACTAGAGACACGCTAGAGACACTCTAGAGACACACTAGAGACACACTAGAGACACACTAGAGACACACTAGAGACACACTAGAGACACTCTAGAGACACACTAGAGACACACTAGAGACACACTAGAGACACACTAGAGACACACTAGAGACACACTAGAGACACGCTAGAGACACACTAGAGACACACTAGAGACACACTAGAGACACGCTAGAGACACACTAGAGACACACTAGAGACACACTAGAGACACACTAGAGACACACTAGAGACACACTAGAGACACACTAGAGACACACTAGAGACACTCTAGAGACACACTAGAGACACACTAGAGACACACTAGAGACACACTAGAGACACACTAGAGACACACTAGAGACACACTAGAGACACACTAGAGACACACTAGAGACACGCTAGGAGACACACTAGAGACACACTAGAGACACACTAGAGACACACTAGAGACACACTAGAGACACACTAGAGACACACTAGAGACACACTAGAGACACACGTAGGAGACACGCTAGAGACACACTAGAGACACACTAGAGACACACTAGAGACACACTAGAGACACACTAGAGACACACTAGAGACACACTAGAGACACACTAGAGACACACTAGAGACACACTAGAGACACACTAGAGACACACTAGAGACACACTAAGGACACACTAGAGACACACTAGAGACACACTAGAGACACACTAGAGACACCCTAGAGGACGACAACTAGAGACACGCTAGAGACACACTAGAGACACACTAGAGACACAGTAGAGAACACACTAGAGACACACTAGAGACACCCTAGAGACCACACTAGAGACACACTAGAGACACATAGAGACACGACGAGACACACATAGAGACACACATAGAGACACACTAGAGACACACTATAGAGCACACGTGGAGACACACGAGAGACACGTAGAGACACACTAGAGACACACTAGAGACACACTAGAGAACACTAGAGACACACTAGAGACACACTAGAGACACACTAGAGACCACACTAGAGACACGTGGAGACACACTAGAGACACACTAGAGACCCACTAGAGACAGGAAGAGACCCACTAGAGACACACTAGAGACACACTAGAGACACACTAGAGACAGAAGACACACTAGAGACACACTAGAGACACACTAGAGACACACTAGAGACACACTAGAGACATACTCGATGACACACTAGAGACACCACTAGAGACACCACTCAGAGGACACACTTAGAGACACACTAGAGGACAACGTAGAGGACACACTAGGGAGACCACGCTAGAGACCCACACTAGAGGACACACTAGAGGACACCCTAGAGACACACTAGGAGGACACACTAGAGACACACTAGAAGACACACTAGGAGACACACTAGCGCACACTAGAGAACACACTAACAGACACGTGGAGACACACTAGAGACACGCTAGGAGAACACGTAGAGACACACTAGAGACCACACTAGAGGACACACTAGAGGACACACTAAGACACACTAGAGACACACTACGAGACACACTCGAGACACCCTAGAGACACGGAGAGACACACTAGAGACACACTAGAGACACACTAGAGACACAGCTAGAGACACTGGAAGACGACCACCTAGAGACACACTAAGACACGTGGAAGAGCACACTAGAGACACACTAGAGGACACACTAGAGACACACTAGAGACACACTAGAGACACCCTAGAGACACACTAGAGACACACTAGAGACACACTAGAGACACACTAGAGACACACTAGAGACACACTAGAGACACACTAGAGACACACTAGAGACACACTAGAGACACGTGGAGGACACGTGGAGACACTGAGACACACTAGAGACACACTAGAGACACACTAGAGACACAGAAGAGACACGTGGAGACACACTAGAGACACACTAGAGACACACTAGAGACACGCTAGAGACACGTGGAGACACACTAGAGACACACTAGAGACACACTAGAGACACACTAGAGACACACTAGAGACACGTGGAGACACACGGAGACACACGGAGACACACTAGAGACACACTAGAGACACGTGGAGACACACTAGAGACACACTAGAGACACACTAGAGACACGCTAGAGACACGTGGAGACACGCTGAGACACACTAGAGACACGCGGAGACACACGGAGACACGCGGAAACACGTGGAGACACACTAGAGACACGTGGAGACACGTGGAGACACAATAGAGACACACTAGAGACACGCGGAGACACACGGAGACACGCGGAAACACGTGGAGACACACTAGAGACACACTAGAGACACGTGGAGACACACTAGAGACACGCTAGAGACACACTAGAGACACACTAGAGACACACTAGAGACACACTAGAGACACGTGGAGACACGTGGAGACACACTAGAGACACACTAGAGACACACTAGAGACACACACTAGAGACACACTAGAGACACACTAGAGACACACTAGAGACACACTAGAGACACACTAGAGACACACTAGAGACACACTAGAGACACACTAGAGACACACTAGAGACACACTAGAGACACACTAGAGACACACTAGAGACACACTAGAGACACACTAGAGACACACTAGAGACACACTAGAGACACACTAGAGACACGCGGTGACACACTAGAGACACACGGAGACACACTAGAGACACACTAGAGACACACTAGAGACACGTGGAGACACACGGAGACACGTGGAGACACACTAGAGACACACTAGAGACACACTAGAGACACACTAGAGACACACTAGAGACACACTAGAGACACACTAGAGACACACTAGAGACACCCTAGAGACACGTGGAGACACACTAGAGACACACTAGAGACACACTAGAGACACACTAGAGACACGTGGAGACACACTAGAGACACACTAGAGACAGGAAGAGACACACTAGAGACACACTAGAGACACACTAGAGACAGGAAGAGACACACTAGAGACACCCTAGAGACACACTAGAGACACACTAGAGACACACTAGAGACACACTAGAGACACACTAGAGACACACTAGAGACACACTAGAGACACACTAGAGACACACTAGAGACACGTGCAGACACACTAGAGACACGTGGAGACACACTAGAGACACACTAGAGACACACTAGAGACAGGAAGAGACACACTAGAGACACACTAGAGACACACTAGAGACAGGAAGAGACACACTAGAGACACACTAGAGACACACTAGAGACACACTAGAGACACACTAGAGACAGGAAGAGACACACTAGAGACACACTAGAGACACACTAGAGACACACTAGAGACACACTAGAGACACATGGAGACACGGAGACACGTGGAGACACGCGAGACACACGGAGACACACAAGAGACACGGTGTCTCCTTTTCTCCTCTTGTTTCCATGTGTCTCCCCCGTGTCTCCCCCGTGTCTCCCTCGTGTCTCCCCGTATCTCCCCCGTGTCTCCCCCGTGTCTCTCCCTAGATCTCCCACGTGTCTCTCTCTAGATCTCCCCCGTGTCTCCCCGTGTCTCCCTAGATCTCCCACGTGTCTCTCCCTAGATCTCCCCCGTGTCTCCCCCGTGTCTCCCCCGTGTCTCTCCCAAGATCTCCCCCGTGTCTCCCCCGTGTCTCCCGCGTGTCTCCCTAGATCTCCCACGTGTCTCTCCCTAGATCTCCCCCGTGTCTCCCCCGTGTCTCCCCCGTGTCTCCCCCGTGTCTCCCCCCAGAGTGTCCCCCCGTGTCTCCTCACCTATGACCTGCACGCGCAAGTCCACGACGTCCACCAGGCTGTCAATCTCCACGCGCAGCTGGTACAGCCCTGAGTCGCCACGGCTAGCCGAGCGGACAAACAGGATGGTGTCCGTGTCTCCAGAGCGACAGCTGACCTGGAGACACGGGGGGGGGGGGGAGACGCGGGGGGTGAGACACGGGGGGAGAGACACGGGGGGTGAGACACGGGGGGAGAGACACGGGGGGAGAGACACGGGGGGAGAGACACGGGGGGAGAGAGACACGGGGGGTGAGACACGGGGGGGGGGAGAGACACGGGGGGAGAGACACGGGGGGAGAGACACGGGGGGGAGAGAGACACGGGGGGTGAGACACGGGGGGGGGGAGAGACACGGGGGGAGAGACACGGGGGGAGAGACACGGGGGGGAGAGAGACACGGGGGGTGAGACACGGGGGGGGGGGAGAGACACGGGGGGTGAGACACGGGGGGTGAGACACGCGGGGTGAGACACGCGGGGGTAGAGACGCGGGGGTAGAGACGCGGGGGGAGAGAGACGCGGGGGGAGAGACGCGGGGGGAGAGACTCGGGGGGAGAGACGCGGGGGGAGAGACGCGGGGGGGAGAGACACGGGGGGAGAGACACGGGGGGAGAGACACGCGGGGGTAGAGACGCGGGGGAGAGACACGGGGGGAGAGACACGGGGGGAGAGACAGCGGGGGAGAGACACGGGGGAGAGACACGGGGGAGAGACACGGGGGGAGAGACACGGGGGGAGAGACACGGGGGAGAGACACGGGGGGAGAGACACGGGGGGAGAGACACGGGGGGAGAGACACGGGGGGAGAGACGCGGGGGGGAGAGACACGGGGGGAGAGACACGGGGGAGAGACACGGGGGGAGAGACTCGGGGGGAGAGACGCGGGGGGAGAGACGCGGGGGGGAGAGACACGGGGGGAGAGACACGGGGGGAGAGACACGCGGGGGTAGAGACGCGGGGGGAGAGACACGGGGGGAGAGACACGGGGGGAGAGACGCGGGGGAGAGACACGGGGGGAGAGACACGGGGGGGGAGACACGGGGGGAGAGACACGGGGGGAGAGACACGGGGGGAGAGACACGGGGGGAGAGACACGGGGGGAGAGACACGGGGACAGAGACACGGGGGGAGAGACACGGGGGGAGAGACAGAGACACGGGGAGAGAGACACGGGGGGAGAGACACGGGGGGAGAGACACGGGGGGAGAGACAGAGGGGGGCGAGACACGGGGGGCGAGACACGGGGGGA